GAGTGTTCTCTTCGTACTCCTCGTCCGTCCGAGTTTTCTCTTCGTTCTCCTCGTCTGTCCGAGTTTTCTCTTCGTTCTCCTGATTTTGAAGCTTGCCGGGCGTTATATTACCTCGTTCCCCTCCCGTCGGTACCCTCTTGATAAGGTAGCTCCGTGGTCACCAGGGGGCGTTAGTATGATATGCCTAGCATATCGTACGTAACACTATTGTTCACAACAAAATATTTAAGCTTACAGATTCAACATTATAACGTCTCTAAACAAAAAATCTGGTATAAAAATACAAATGAAGATCTTAAAAAAGCAGCACTTATGCAACTACGTGTAGCATTTGCAACTCGGTCCTAAAGGTTATGCCCCTGAAAAAAAGGTATAGTGGCATAGTACAGACGACGCGACGTATACTACGTTTGCTCATGAGCCATACCAATGTGGTATGAGTTCCGAGCTAACTTAGTACGTAAGATTCGATACTTATGCAGCGCCTTTAAGGTGCTAGTGTAGTATAAAGCAGAAGCTGTAGTAGTGCGTTTCACAATCTACAGTTGTATATAGATCTTTATACTACCGTAGCAGACTCTCGATACTACCGTTGTGTTCTACGGGTGCTACTGTAGTATGTGACGCACTGTATTCCAGTAGTATATAGATACACAACTACCATAGCATCAGAGCTCTCTCCGTGTGTACATTTGTTATCGAAAAAGGGCATGGATGGTTTTAAGAGTGATTATATAAAAGTGCAGCCATCTACATATGTGCGAATTGATACAATGATAATTGTATCAATATTGCTTGTATATATTTTAGAGTCATTAAATTTAGATACTCCTTTAGAGTCATAAACTTATCTGCAAGCATTCGAATAATTTCCTACTATAGCTATTGAAATCGAGCTTGAGGTAATAACAGCTCAAAAAAATTAAGAATTAAAACTTATCTAAACCTACCGTACGAGTGAATGTACAGCTTCTCGGTAGCTCAAGTAGTAGATCAACTTACTAGTAAACAGGTGGTTGTGTGTTTGATTCGCACCTGGAGAGGATCTTTCTCATTCTTACTTGAAATCAAGTGATTAAAATTTTTATTTCGCCCTATAAGATTAACAAAGTCCAAATAATTCATAGCATCACATAATGTTTGTCAGCGGTTCCATCTTTCGTCTTGTCGTGCATATTTCTTACGAATTCTCGAGTTAACTACAAATGTCACATTGAAAACATAAAATTTTATGCACATAACATTTAATATTAACATTTATTATATTTATTTTATTACATTTATTATATATTTATAATTGATACGTTCCAACTGTGTACGTAATTGTACGTATTTTTATATCTAGGTTCAGATCAATGTCACCGAAGTTATTTTGGCTGTATCATATAGGGCTGCAGAAATGGAAGAAGAACTTTGCAAAGAAGCAGAAAAATTAGGGGTTACTCTTATTTTTTCTCACGAACAGCAACCTCTTGGCACAGCTGGGCCCTTAGCACTTGCAAGAGATGCTTTGTCTATTGATGAAAGTCCATTCTTTGTTTTAAACTCCGATATTATTTGTGATTTTCCGTTCAAAAAACTATTGCAGTTTCATAAGAATCACGGTAAGGAGGGTACAATTGTTGTCACAAAAGTTGAAGAGCCGTCGAAATACGGAGTTGTTGTCTACGATGATGATGGAAAAATTAATAGTTTTGTCGAAAAACCAGTTGAATTTATATCCAACAAAATCAATGCAGGTTTGTTTTTACTAGTTATTCTTTTATAGTAGTTAAGAAAATAGTCTAATGTACATATAGAATCAAGATTTTTTGTATTTGGTTACAAAAGACACGTATTTAACATAGTATAATAATTACTGTACCATACAAGTGTTAATTATATTGGATACTACTATAAAACACCTAATACTTGTTATCCTACTATTTTCATTTTTCAAGGATACTAAAATAATTAAAATTTGTTCTTTCATCCAATGCATGACCTGTAATAAATAATCGAATAACGTTTTTTTTCTAAGTTTAAATTTGTTTATTTTTATAAAAAAAATTTAGTCTTTTCATATACTAGTATCTAGTACTGGCATAGTAAAAAAAGTGCTGGCTATGCTTTTAAAATGTAAGTATGGTATGTGCTTTCACTCATAATGAAGTCCGTTTCTACTCTCAGCTCACAACTGAGCTAAAGCTTTTGTCACAACTTCTAAATGGGCTTACTTTAATCATACCCCTACATAATCTGAGAGCCAGAGGGGAATGGTATCTACCATTATAGGTACCTTGGAACATCTGGGTTTTCTAGATCTCCCAAATCTGAATGTGAATGTTGTTGAGTCTTCTTTGTTAACCTTTTGGCTGATGTATATTTTTCAAATCATTCAATCGCTATTACCTTCTTCTTTTTCAATCCAACAAAGAAAGCGGAAAGATTGGGATAATTTTTAAAAATCACAACCTCAATTATTAGTGTGGGTTGCTCGTGACAGCACGGCATTATACTGATTCTACACATCTACTGTATTGGGCTATAATAAGTATGCACTCGTCGCTTTTGGCCTCTCGCAGTGATCCGCGTGATGCATTTATGACCTAAGTACTCGTACACGAGAAGCAAGTTCTTGGACATTACTTCGTGCAAAGCAGAATAAAGTTCCTTAATTTTTAGAACAGAAACAAAAGCTTAAGTATGGTATGTTAAAGTTTTTGTTGAGTTTCATAAAATTCAAAACATTGATGAGGCTAAAACGAAACAAAAATTTTGTGGTAGAATCAAGCTTTTAGAATAATTTTATGAAAAAACGAGTACTGATTTTTTTTAGCCTACACATCAAAGAACTTTCTTACCAGAGCAACAAAGTCCTGGAGCCTCATATCTCTATTTTTTAGCTCGTCAACGAATACAAATACATATTATTCTACCTATTTAAAGAGCTTGAGGATTTAAGTGAATAATATCAGTTTCACTACTCTTTAAAGCGCTGGAGTTAATTTTAGTGCTCTTTCCTAACGTGTCTTAGTGTTACGCCAGACACATTGGAGTTCAAAGCACCTTCTTCTCGTGGAGCACGATTGTTTTCATGACCCCAAGTAGATATTGGTTATTGTCGCTTGTATGTTGGAAACTTCTCTACTTGCTTAATTTTATTTTTCTACTATAGCTTTACTATTAGATTCTTCGAACGCATATTATGAAAAAAATTGGTGTTACCTGGTGGAATGCTTAGAGTCGAAAGGGTAATACAGGGTCGTTGGTGGTCTGCGTACCTAGCCTTGCGGTAAAAAACTCAGTGAATGACTAACTTAGTTTAAAAGTAGCCGGCTTTGTATTGTCTGTTAGTGGGCAAATCGTTGTCGAAAGTTGCTTAAAAACATTTTTTGAAGATAGTTGTAAGATAATATATTTTTTGGCAAAATAATTTGATGACCCTGGAAAAGATTGATTACATTCATGGTGGTTAAGTATTCGTAAAGATTTATCATGGCTCAGAAAAGGGCCCGTGGTGATATTTCTAGTCAGAGGCTGATAATATTTCCTGAAGATATGACTGCTTTAACTCCTTAAAGTTATTCTCCTTAGCTTGCTGTTATTGCAGGAGGTGCTTAAGGATCATCAGGTTGTCGAAAGCATGGCTACGACGCGACGCCTGTTAGCATTATAACTAGTAACGATCTAGTCAAACGTCTCTTGGTATCATGCCAAAGACAGGTTGAAAATTAGCATGGGTTGACAGCCTATTCAAAATGTCAGAGTATCGTCGGTAACCGGGATATTTAGCCGCACGATTTAAAGTTACGTTCTTGACGTATTACCACTGAATAACTCATGATAATCAATATTCTGTTCGGGACTATAATAAATAGACTCACTGACTTTAATTCCAGGTAACTTAAATTCTACTTTGACGCCACCTAGCAGATCCTACTAAAGTAAAGTGGAAATGTAGCTTTTTTATTACATAAGCTTTGAGCTTATTGATTGTTAATATTTTTTTTTTCTTTGAAGAAAAAAACCATGCAAAAACCATCTAGGAAGTGTCAAGAATCAGTATGCCAAAGGCTATAACGGGATAATATAGTAAAAACTTTACTTTCCTGGATTTTATATTGGAGTTGACCATTTAAAAGTACTTGAGTAAGAACTCCTCCAGCTAAATTTTTAGCCCTCTAGGTGCTGATACAGACCTCCTAACATAAAATACCTATTTTTTCAAAGAAAATCATTTCTGCTCAATTCACCATTTAAAAAAATTTAAAACAATTCGAGAACGTGTAGATTCTACAACAAAAATACACTGATTTTTTCAAACTTTTTTGATTATAATAGAGATCATAAAAACTTTTTGAATTTTTTCAATGGTTTTTTTAGGTTATGTAGGTATTTTTTGGCTAACTTTTAACCAACAATTTTATGTATTTTTTTCTGTTCTTTTGATTTATGGTATTTTAAAAATTATTTTTTCCCCAGAACATACTAAAAATATGGAAAAGCCGGTTTTTCAAGCCTTTTTTCGTTGTTTTGGTAAAGTAAACGTACCTATTATGAGCCACTTTGCCTATGAGATTTTGATTTTTTGTAGATTGTAAAGAAAAAAGATTATTATTATCAGTGATTTTGATATCAATCGAAGCGCTAGACATTCACGAAGAATTTCCAATAATTCCAACAGAAAATAAATTGATAAAAAATTTTTTTGTGAAAAAAAGCAAAGCCTCTTTTTGAACGTATTATGGGCCATCATTTCAAGTTTGTCCCCCTGGTCCATAATGTATGTACGTATTATGGGCCATAGCTGAATCTGGGTAATTTGTAGACAATTTTTATACTGCAGATGATAAATAGGATAAACGGTCTTACTAACTTTTTAAGTTATTTATTCCAACAGAAAATAAATTGATAAAAAATTTTTTTGTGAAAAAAAGCAAAGCCTCTTTTTGAACGTATTATGGGCCATCATTTTAAGTTTGTCCCCCTGGTCCATAATGTATGTACGTATTATGGGCCATAGCTGAATCTGGGTAATTTGTAGACAATTTTTATACTGCAGATGATAAATAGGATAAACGGTCTTACTAACTTTTTAAGTTATTTATTATAAAGAATATTAGAATTGACAATAATTAAACATGAATGACAAACGTTATAACAAATTAATATAAATAAAAATAATTTGGGCTCTGTTTTTATAACTTTAAACAGCTTCCGTTTGTCGTCAATAACTTTTTTTGCCTTTTTAATCTCTTCCATTTGATTTTTTATTTCATCTAAAAGTTTTTTCCTTTCAGCTTGAATAATTTTTCTTTCTTCTTTCTTTCGAATTTTTTGTTTTGCCTCTTCTTCTTTTTTCATTAGTACATCCCAATATACATCTGAAGCTCCAGCTGTTGGCTTTCTAGGTTTTTTTGATTTTTGTATAACTTCTTTCTTTTTCTTAGGCAAATAATCTTCTGGTAACATCAAGTATTCGGAAATAGGCTTGGGTTTGGTAACTCCTGGAAGTAAATAGTTTAAAAATTGCTTAATTTTGTAGCACAAAAAATCAATAGCATAAATGAAATTTCGTACAAACCATCTACAGATTTTTGATTTTGTTCATTGTCTTCTTGTGACACATTCAAAGACTGTGAAATGTTCTCTTTTGAACTTAACCCTTTTTCTTTTTCTTGACAAATAATACTAGGTTGACAAACAATTTTTTCTTTTTCATTTACAATTCTTTCTTGACATACAATACTTTCTTTTTCATTTTGTAC